AACAACTTTAAAACTGAAAAATATTTTATCAATTTTAATTTATTTCTTATTTTTATTCAGATAATCCTTTGTTTTTTCGCAAAATTCATCTGATTTCCATTATTCAATGAATTTATGAATTATATGTTAAATAAAGTATAAGAAAAGTAATATTTGGGACGTTTGGAGCCAAGTCAAATAAATAATTCCAAAATAAAATCCATCATAAGCTTTAAAATTTGAAAAAATTAATAGATTTGAATGGAATAAGGTTAAAAATTACTAAAATTACTTGTCGCCCCACGGGTTGAATTTTAAAATTTTGATATTTGATATAATTTTGATATAAAAATTATTTTTGTACTTATTATTTAATTATAATTATAATTATATATTATTATTATTGCTATTTATTATTTATTATCATTATTATAGGTATTATTAATATTATATTTCAATTGCTATTTGGTGTTAATTCCTAAATTACCAAGAAAATTGGAATTATTTTTTGCTGGCAGTTTTTTTAACTATTGTAAGATAACACAAGCTTTTCAAAAATCTAAAAAATATATAAGATGAATTGGTCAACTTCTTTATGCATATGTATTGTTCCAATTGTTTCAATTTCTTGCTTGCCAAATATTTTTTGATTAATTTGATAGCCAAAATAAATTATTTAGTTAAAATACCAAATTGTACACTTTTTTGGCATGGAAATATATCGTATATGCAAAAAAATTTCCATCGCAATTTTAGTTTTTTAATAAAAATTTTGTGAAAATTTTTTCAGTAAATTTTATCTTATTAATGTTCATAAGTTTTTTAACCAATCGCTAACCAAGAATAAGAAGGAAATTAAATATTAACAATCAGCAGAAAATATTGTATCATTAATGGTTTCATCCTGGTTATAATTTTACCTTTCGTTTATCTTTTCCTTTTTTCATTGACAATCTCTCATTATTAAGATTTGTTGGAAAACTTAATTGGTGATCTCTCAGTTCTTAAGGATATATGAATAATATTTCCTGGAATATTTAATAATTGATAGATATTTCATGACATTTATGATCTCTATCAATTTCAGAAAGTGAAAATCCCGACTGGTCAAACTCGCAAATGAGAAAAAATTATAAAAATTTCAGAAATATCCTACCTACCTTTATGGCAAGATAAACCAAAACCCCAGAAATGATCTCTCCTCCTTTATGATTTACAACTTTTTTTTCTTGAAGAATCCTCACATTTAGTGGTTGAACCCGCTCCACTGGCTTGTCGCATTGGACATTATACCAAGGAGTCCCTTGGCGATAGAAATACAGTCACTAGCATCACGCGGATTTTTGGGCAGGTTTACTCTTTCGGCGATTAGAAACAGCAGCCTCGACACTCCAAATTGAGCAACAACCCACTGAGCTACTGTATCTTTACAATTTATAATTTAGGAAATAGGAAATAAATTATTTATTTATTTAATTCAACCAAAATGCGTGATTTCCAATGGATAATTTGAACCATTTTTTAAATAAAGCCTTAAGCCTTTAATAAATAAAGCCTTTTTTTAGAAGTATATATGAAATTAAAATGTATTTGAAAATCTTATTAAATTAACAAATTAAAAAAAATTTAAGTAAAAGCACAAATTTAAGAAAAAATTACTAAGAAAAATTTAAAAAAAAGTAAAAAGTTGTAAAAAAATTTGAAGGTAAAAGAGAAAAAGAAATGCAAAAAGCGAAAATTTTGAATAGAAAGTCGAATTGCTACTTTGCTCGATCAGATCCATTGGGAAGGTTTCCTCTTTTAGTAAATACATTTCTATGCGTTTCGTCTCGAACCACTAATTTTTTTCTCTTTGAACGAGGCTCCTCGCGAAAAATATTCATTTTCAGAGATTTATTTTTCATTAATGTATAAACTAATGGGTAGGTTCTGGATTTAATGAATACACATATAGTGTACCATTGATAAAATATTATTGACACTTTTGAAGGTACTCTCCATTATAGCAGTTAATTCGCCAATTTTTACAAGTTTGATTTTGGTGAATATCAGTATCCTTTCCCTTTCATTAATAGAATCTCTCCACCATTTGAAAATTCCTGTAATTTTTAAGTAAGTTCCGTCTCCTTGCTTCTATGGGTCTCTGAGCTTGTCGGATTCTTTGAATCTTCTATCGAGTGGCGTTGTTCGATGAAAGGTAAACGGTTGTAAGTAGAAAAGCAGAAGTCATACAAAAGTGAATAATTCTGCAGGAAGGATCACTGGTACTCATCATTTATTCCTTTATCTCTGCAATTATTTTCGATACCATGGCCAAGCTCGCATGAAGAGGATGGTTGCGCTCCATGAATTTCTTTAAGACATAGTGCTCATTCATAATTTGTTATGGTTCGGCCTTTACTGACCGGCCTTTTATTCAGAACGCGAATAAAAATTATTACTTGACTATTTTTTGTTATACCATATTTAATAAAAAAGTAACTTTAAGCATTTAGCACATCCTTTTGAAAGGAAGCAACTTTACATGTTTCACACATCGTATGATAGGGCAAAAAAGCGAAAAAGAATTATAGAATTGTAAATAATTAATTTGCCAAATAAATGATGAAGCGAATTTTTGATGCAAATCTTTTTTATCATACAAAAAAGTATTTTCTGATAAAATAGGATAAATGACAAAAAGGAAAGGAAATTTCTAATTAATAATTAATAGTTATATTTTGATTCGATAAGGAAAGAACCCGTTGAAAATCATCATTCATAATAATAGAATTTTAGGTTTTTAAATCCCTGAATGATAAAAAAACTATAAATTATATAAATACATATAATTATAAAAAACTATAAATTTTCTGAGGTTATTTTTGTAGTGAAAGAAAAAGGAAAAAGGACATTTTTGAATTTTTTCATGCCATTCGGTCAAAAAGTTTTCTCTCATTCAAGATTTGGTCCTTCTGAAATTTTCTGTTCACCGGCGAATGTTTTCATTGTACAATAATGCTGAATGAAATTTACAACAAATGAAGATTTAATCGGGCAACTTTTCTTTTTATGATAATGCAGATAAATTTCACTTAAGATGAAGGATATGTGGTACTTGGGTCGCAAATTTAAGCTTCGAAAAGCCATAATTTGTGCTGGTGCAATATTTCTTCTCTCATTAACGCAATTTTATCGATTTCAACCGACCAAAAACGTCATAGAAACTAATCAGTTTCATCATCGCCATCTTTTATCACTACTGCCTGATTGCTCACAGTAACCTTTTTATTAACAGTTAAATTAATATGAAAAACTCAATGATATGATATGACGATAATTGATCATTTTTTTATAGCTTTGTGGATTAAAATAGTTTAATTACTTTCGATAAGACGAAAATTATAAAATTGTAAAAATTCGCAATATTCGCAATAAAAAATATTAAAACATTTCATTATATATTAATTGATAGTTGATAGTTAATTGATAGCGAAAAACTGATTTGATAGAATTCGTTTGAAAAAAAAACTTATTTTGAATACAATGAGATTTAATTAAATTATAAGCGTTTAAACATTCAGATTTAATAAATATTTTAGATATTAAATTTAGATGTTAAGGATATTAGATTTTAGATATTAAATAAAACCAAACTATTTGAAAATATTTAAAATTACTTTTAAAAATTAGAGAAATAATTAATTGGAAACAATTATTTTATATGAGAGCATTAGTTGCTTTAAAAAACTATTTCTTCGATGAATTTTTTGAATTTTGATTTGAGTATGAGTTTTGTAACAAAAAATAGTTGCAGAAATATGTCACGGCTTAGCCAAATAGTCGAAGATGGAAGCGGTCAATTTCCGCCCGATCAGTTTACACTCGAGCAACGACGTAAAGGCGCAAGTTTGTCACATTTTTTTACGGTTTCTAGATTTCAAGGTTTTATTCAGTTAAATTTTTCAGTTCATGGTGAGAATGATTTTAAATCTAAATTTAAGGCCAATGATGCTAATGAAAGGAAATTTTGTCCCGCTATTAGCCATAAATCTATAAATTCATTTAATCTCAATATACAGACTCAATATTTCAATGGCGTTACCTTCAGATCGATAGTTGCATGAAGAATTTCGGTTCAGTTGTCGAAAAAATTTTCAGTAGTCTATTTTTTGGCTATCTTTTATTTGAGTTAATTTCCACGTCTATAGTTAAATACAAAGGGATAAAATTGTTAATATTCCTCATTCCTTTTTACCAGTTTTTCTGTTCGTTCAAGCTGTTTAACTGAGTGAGTAAGTGCTTATTGCTCATCGTTTCTGGTTATACTCGCTGCGTTAGTTGTTAGAATTAGAAATTTGCCAGAGAGTCAATTAGCGATAGAAATATGTGATGAGTTCGGCAACACCAAGCAGATTCCTCAATGACAGATTTTCTCCGTCAGAATACGAACCACTGGATTTTGCACCATAATCTAAGCTACTTCTTCTTGTTTCCTTCACTGTCATTCAAATAATTGATCAATTAAATAATTACTAATGATTTTTTATAATAAAAAATCAATTGCATAAATCCGAGAAATTTTTTTGGGAATTTGAAATATTTGCTATTTAAACGATAATTTTTATTAATTCGCATTTTTTTATCAATTAAAGTAACCATTCATACACGCAATTTTAAATTTAAAAAAGCATTCAGAAGAATTTGTGGAAGGAAGAATTTGTTATTTAAGCAACAAAATTGTCGAAAATAGATCGCTTTTGAAATGCGATCCCTTAGGGCATTTATACTCATTTAACCTATGGAATAGATAGAATAGCATATAATCGATAGATTTTTAGGGAAAATTGATATTTAAAGGAAATCAGATTAAACATCGGGGAAAAATCGGAACACCTTTTTATCATAAAAAGAAACAGCTAATAATGTGAAGGCAAAGAAAGGAGTAATCGCTAAAGGTGGGGATGGGGATAGAAAGTTATAGAGAAGAGAAGTTAACAATTTTCAGGAATTGCTATTTGAGGAAATAATAAATAAAACAAATGGGTAATATCGGACATAGCTTAATCGTTTTAGTTGTTCAAATATATTTTCAAATATATTTTCTGATTTCTTACTTCCAAAAGAAATGCATTGCTAATTGACGTTAAATGTGGGAGAGTTCTAATATCTCTGGTCATTTTGCATGTTTTGCAGAAATTCGCATTAAGGTTTTATGATTTAACTTAGTGATTCATGTCGCAGCTAGAAATAAGGCACATAAGCAAACGATTCCTCATATCTTCATAATATCATAAATATTATCATTATCATATCGCCTATTAACACTGATTGCCATTGATAAGTAATAGCTTTTAGTATTTGAAAATCTGTTTTGATAAATTTTGAAGGATGCCATTAAAAGAATTTTTCGTTTGCAGTTCTTCTTCATGTTATTGGGCTAATTTATATGTTCATTGCCTTGGCTATCGTTTGTGACGAATTTTTTGTCCCATCGTTAGGCGTAATTACTGACAAATTGGCAATAAGCGATGATGTTGCAGGTTTATTGATTTTAATCTATTTTTTATGGCTTCAAAATTATTTAAAACAAGTCTCATCTTTCATAACATATTTATTTTGATCACTGAAGAGCTAATCACTTGGCTTATACTTGTCAACATTAGAATCCAAGATGATTGCAGGTGCAACCTTTATGGCCGCAGGCGGTTCAGCTCCAGAATTTTTTACTTCGGTTATAGGAGTTTTCATTGCCGAAAATAATGTTGGGATTGGTACTATCGTGGGTTAGTTTATAACTTGATTATATTAGTTATTTCCACTTTGATTTTTCTTCTTCTAACATTATTAATGCTCAGGCTAGTTGGCCACAAGAGTCGATCTGATACCATATTTGAAAATAATAGAAGCCATTCCTTTTTCTATTGTCTAAGCCCATATATTGCAGGGCTGCCTATAAATCTCACATATTGTTACTGAATATTGAATATATGAAAAAATTAATTAGGGGTGTTCTATTTCAAGTTACTTAAATTCAAATTTGACTGCTTAAATTTTTTTCCAAAATATCAATTCAACTTGGTATCCTTCACCTTTTATTTGGGGAGCATTCTGTTATCATTTCTTTTCAGAACAATTTAATTTTAATATTTTAATCAATTTTAAAATTTCAGATATTGCAATTTTGAAATGAATAGTAATTATATGTAATATTAATATCAAAATCCAAGATTTATATGCTTTGTAATAATAAATATTTTCTCAGAAATATTTTACAGGCAGTGCGACCTTTAATATACTCTGTGTACTGTCGTGCTGCGCACTGTTCGCTCATGGTGTTCTGCATTTAACGTGGTGGCCTTTATTTAGGTCCACACATTTCTTTTATTCGACTTTCTTTTTAGCTGTTCCACCAAATAGTATTCTTTTAAAATTAAAACATCAGAAATTCTTTTTCCATCGTTTTGGATTTTTTTTGTAAATATTTTATAAACTTCATTGAGAGTGTTCATTGGGCGATTATTAGTAGATTATTGTCCGGTCCAGTGAATTTATTCGTAACTCATTGGCCAGGTTATTGGATTCTTTGTTCACTTCGAGTTAGTGAAGCATACAATGCCAATATTTCTTTTAAAAAAAAAGTGATTGGTAGATTTTAGTTTTCATAAAAAATACAGTATTGGGCAAATCATTAGTTTGCTTAATGCATTCATTACTTCTGGTTTATCCAGCTCGACTCAATGCTTAAGACGAGAGCTCTTCACCAAAGAGTTGTTTGCGATGCAGGCTTTCCTTGACTTTTTAGCACCACTTTTAATGAGTCCATCATGCCATGCTTTTTCCTGCCACGGTGTGAATTATATCCATGCTGCTTGGTCTTAGCTAAAGCGACATACCACTATTCTACTCTCAGTTTCTAGCTCGGTTCGTAATGTTCGAAGAAATTTCAGGGATGTCGCTTTTTATATCCTCGCTCTATTGCTTCTCGTGCTTTTTTTTTTGGATGAAAGGGTAATTATTTAAATTTTTTCTTCGAGTAGTTTCGTTAATATATTCTATTTCTAAAATAGTTTGATTATTTTTAAAAATTTTAGCGGATATAAAATTTATTTTATTGTGATTATTATTTGAAGCATTCAATATTCATATTTTTCGAAATAAATATCCAAAAATTCCACTGATTTTTATAAAACTGCAGATACATTGGTACGAAGCATTATCATTATTTATTATATACCTCTTGTACGCAATTTTCATGAAATACAATGAAGTATTAGAAGCAAAAGTAAAAAAATGTTGCCCCGATGAAAAGCAATTAAATGCTTCCGAGGAGGAGCAAAGGCTTACGGTTCTTCAACCGAAGGCAATCGTTCTTCTTTTAATATTATTTTTTTAGTTTACTATCCACTAAAGTGGAAATTTTTCACTTAGAAAAGCGTTTGATGTTTGATAGAGGTGCAAATCCAGGATTTTGTTTCAATGGCTGGTTTATTTGCTTATAGAAAAGGGATCCAAAGGGCCTATGAAGATTTCTATCAAATGGCGTGCCATTCGGTTATTCATCCTCCCTCTTGTTGTTTTCAAAATATCATAAATTTATTTATACACTATTTTGATTTCAAAATTTGATAATAGTAATAATATTAATACTCTACTATATTCAGATGGAATCACCTCGAAGTCCTTCAACATACGGCAATGAAACAGTAAATTCGATGAATTTTAATTATGCGCATAGAATACAGCACGATGATCTTGATCGCTCCCATTCTTTATCTAATATAAGACGCAGTTCAGGAATTCGACGCCAGTCGATACCAATTTTACATTCAGGAGCAATATTTCGTAATGGTATTCTACAGTTGATGTCACATGGTCTCGATCCTCTCGAGGAGGGTGTTGCAGAAGATGATGGTTTTATTTTTTCTCTTTCTATTTTCTGAATGATTTATGATTCAAGATCATTAAATCAAAAATTTGAAAGAAACTAAATAGTTTCAGTCACAAATAGTGCGAAAATTTATAATGTTATGGCCAAAAGAGAAAATGAAATTCATGAAACAAACGATTTTAAGGTAAATCACATTTATTATGAAATAATCGCAAATAATCCCAAAATTCGAAAATTTCTGATTTTTTGGATTGCTTTAAAAAAATACTAATGAATACGACTTCAAAAAAATTTCCGGTATTTTCTTTTAACCACTGCATATCGTTCATAATATTTGATTTTAATCAGCATGCTCACATTGATCAAGAATCGCTACAAATGGATACGAAGAGAACAGAGAATCACCACATGACCAGTAGATCTTCAATTTGTCCTAATAATATTAACGTCGATGAAATTGTTAGTAAAATTTTAAAACATATATGAAAACATCATACAATTTGTTATTGTCCAATTTACCATTTATTTATACGATTCATTTTAAGATTCTAATGCCTACAATATTTCATTCATCATCATATGGAGCTTACCTGAATTTATATTTCTAACGACAGATTTGCTCCATGGAGAGACAGAAATCTGATGCCCATCTTACTTGACTTTAGTTTTTTCTCCATTGAGCATTCTGCCACTCACCCTTTTCCTGCCATTTGGCAGTAATTAAAACAGAATCAATGAATCAATCTATTAAAAGGCAAATAAATAAAAGTTAAGAGTTTCCTCAGAGAAAATTTTCAGAAAGCAATACTCGAAGAAGAAGAGGAAAAGCCTTTGGATATGACATGGCCAGAGAAATTTCATCGCCAAGTCATTTTTCTCGCTCTTTCACCGATTCTTTTTCCACTTTGGGTTACGTTGCCGGACGTTAGAAATGAGGTTATCCTTATTCCAAAAATGATTGCAGTGAATTCATCGACACTTACTTTAGTTCTGATTCTATAATTTAGGCGTCTCGAAAATGGTTTCCGTTAACCTTCATCGGCTCAATATTATGGATTGCATTCTATTCATATATTATGGTTTGGATGGCAAATACTATCGGCGAAACCATTGCTATTCCAACGGAGGTCTTTTTATTTCTTACGTTTTTGCTTTTAAAATCATCCAAATAAACTTTCTAAATTAGAAAATTTGCGTAATTTTTATTGATCATTTGAAAAATTTTTTTTTCTGCGAAATTAAGAATCATATGAAATACAAATTTTAATAAGAGATTTGGTAAAATATTTTCATCAATTACTTGCAATTTTGCATTGTATTGTTTAGTTCATTTAATCTTTTTCTGCGACAGTAAAAGAAAAATTTTTTCTTTTTTAAGATAATTGGCTTGACAATTTTAGCAGCTGGGACAAGCATTCCTGATTTAATAACAAGGTAAAATTCTCTATCTCCCACTTACCGATTTTTACCATTTTTCATGATCTACTCGGCTTGGCCTTGTTGATATAAAGTGAGATTATGTGATTTATTGATAAACTCGAATTACTTCACGAATTGGAGAACCATGGATGCTTGTATACTAAAACTTGGAATCATTTTGGGAGGAATGAATAACTAAATTTATACAGAACTAATAAATTCCTTTGCTCATTCTCTATAAGCCATCAATAAATCTACTATTTTTATTCATTGATGATTATTCATAAATTTTGAAAATACATATGGAAATAATTTTTTAAAATTATTTTTTAAAATTGTAAATATTTTAGTGTCATCGTTGCACGGAAAGGTCTTGGTGACATGGCTGTTTCCAGTTCTGTTGGCAGCAATATTTTTGATGTGTGCGTTGGGTTAGTGAAAAATATTACGAAATTTTTCAGAAAATTTTGATTTTGATAAAATTTCGTCAATATTTTTTCCAGTTTCATTTAATAATTTTAGTTTGCCTATACCATGGTTATTATATTTTATTTATGAACCAATTCGTAATCAGGAAATGGCTAAAAATTTTATCTCTGTGTCAAGGTTGGCGATTTTTCCATCTTCATGCTTACACTTAAAGCTTTAAAACATGACTTCCATAAAAATGCTCGGCGATTAAAATGAATAACCCTGACATTTCTTTTTTCGATATAACTTTACATTTGACAAATTTGATAGCCAAAGTTTTGTTGCATTATCTTCATTTTGGACAAAACTATGGTTAATTAACTGAGACTCGATATCCTAACTATTCGATTTTTTTTGCCTTACTTATTATAAATTAATTAAATGGACTTTCACATCAGCAAATAAATTTTAGTAATGGATTGGCTTGCAGTGTCGGCATGTTATTCGTCATGCTTATCGTTTTAGTTGCAGCAATTGGTCTATCGAAATGGCAAATGAATAAATTTTTTGGAGTTGTTATGATCATATCGTATATTTTATTTTGTGTGCTATCAATTTCTCTTGAAACGGGCTTCCTTGCTTGTCCACTTAAAATTTGTTAAAAAGATTTTACAGAAATTCGTATATTTGGTGCTAAAAATTTTTCCATGAGCAATAATTCTTCCTTCTTGAAACATTTGAAAAAATTCCTTTGATGTAAGGCAAATATTCTAATATCGAAAGTGGTTTAATAAATGGTTAGCGGTAGCCATTTCTGGTAGCTAGCATGATGAGAAATTTTTCTGGAGAACCACATAGTGAATCAGCGTCACTCGGAATATCGGCAATATTCTAAAAAATTAAGAAGATTATTAGATTATCATATTATTATTTAGCCATTTCTGGTTGGCCTCACTCCACTCGTTGATTCTCCAGTGAATGTTCTTGGCTTCATTCAACTCAATAATTATTCAAGTTGTACTCTCTGATTCAATCGAATGAATTTCTTTTTCAACGTTTTATTTTGTTGGAAAATTTGCTAAGAACAATTAAATTGAGCAATTTATTACGCTTTTTGAATAGTTTTAAAATTAATTCAATTAATTTTGAAATTTTAATTTAATTTAATTAACTCTTACCAGCCAACTCTTCTCAGTCAACTTTATTTATCCAGCAAAAGACCACTTAGTCATTTACAAGCCAACAGCAAATTTAAATCATTTGATAGAGATTCAATCATTTATTGTTTCTGGTTCTATGGGTTAATGGGTTGTAATTTCTGGGCAATCACTGCATTTATCATAAGTATTCCTAGTATTAGTGGCATTTTTCTAAACTTCTCGATTGGCTGTCCTAAAGAATTGACCATCTATCAATAGGATTATTTCAGAAAAAGTTGTAAGTGTTGGTTTCACAGCTTTCAGGCCATTCTGTTCGTCCCACTTGTTTTTTCTCGATTAATCATTGTTTATCCATATAAGCATTAAAACGACGAAAAGCTGTCAGAAATCCTCTAATCGCTCAACAAGTTTTTTCCAGAATTTCTGAAAGAAATGTTGTTTATTTTATTAGAAACTGCTTAAATCAGTAAAAAAATCCTTCAGTAACCATTCTACATAAATTTTGTAGATTTACACGATTTTCAAAATATTGCTCATATAAAAAGTGAATTTTTACTCTACTATTTATAAGAAAATTTAGAAAAAATCAGTTGCATTTGCTCTTACTAGGTTTTTTATAAAATAGAATCCGACTTTATAAAAATTAGTTTAAAAAATAGTTTTCTCTTTAATAAATATTGAAATTGATTGTTGATAAAATTGTTGATAATTTTGTAAATATTTTAAGAACTGTGGAAGAAAAATGAATATATTCTTACTTTTTATAACGAATAAACGAATTTAAACGAAAAAATCTTTTGTTAAAAGATGACAATTATGTGAAATAATGAAATGACCTAGATAGAAATTAAATTAAATGACATAGATAAAATTACATTTGTTATTTGTAGTTTCAAATAACAAACTTATGGCAATAAGTTTGAAAATCACCTGCGAATTCAAAATTCGTAAATAAGGAATGGATATTGCATGATATTATGCACATGCAATCCTATAAAACCAAGTTTCAGTTATCTGTTAACTTAGGCCCACTAAGCGCAAAAGAATCAAGCAGAACTTAATTGCAAAATTTAGTTGCAAAATTTTATAGTTACATTAAAATAGATTAAATAGAAAATAGAAAATAGATTAAAATAAATTCTATAATCTGTGCCTCTGTGCTAGAGCCATAATTTTTAATTTTTGTGCCCACAGTATTTATTACTGGAAAAGATTACCTGCAAACTTACCATCAATAAGAATTTTAAAGGCTATAATTGCCTACAGGTTCATTTAATGATAATTAATCTCATTGCATTATATTATTATTATTCCATCAATTAAATTGCTTTAGTTTTCATTAATAATCTTGTTTAATAATTTAGTAACAGAACCGTTTCAAGCAATATATTTTTAATTTTATTTTTGTTCTTGAATTTAATATAGAATGTACTGGAACCATAACACTGAGTACTCAACAGTTTTGGATTGTAAGCCTACTACTTAACCTAAACCATTACACCAGGATCTGATATATTACTCACATATGTTAATGAAACATTATTAATATGAATTTAAAGGAAGATCAAGACCTTATATATATATATATATATAGTATTGATATCTATACTTACCTAAAGGCAGGCCATCTCACAAGGCTATTTTGTTTCTACCATCTTGTGACAATAGATTTTACGAATATAATAAATCTAAGGAACATTAGAAATATTGAAATTCGAGAGAGTCCGTATTTTTTATAAGCAATTTGATGAATATTAACTGGTGCTGCTCACAGCCAAGATTCAACTATTAATATTCTTCCGCTTTTATTGATACAATATTTGCTATTCTCCCTCTGTTTTTCTTCTTGTAGGCCTGGCTATATGCTTTGCTTGGAATAAATAGATACTGAATATAGATTACGAGATTGTAATGGATTATAAAATGAATGCGTGCCAAAACATATTTTAAATAAAAATTGATGACATGATTTTGTAAAAATCATAATTCACGTTTCTGAAATTTTTTGGGAAATTTTCTTCTCATCCATGCGATCCTAATTTTTGGCCGTCTGTTGTTCCACAGGATTTGCATGGAGTATGAATTCTTAATTTGGTCGCCTGGTTTACTGGATTCTGATTTTTACATATATATATATATATATGTATATATGTGCAAGATTTTTTTGTTTTACCATTGATTAATGATTTGGAAATAACCATTAATTTTTGGATTGCAATTGCTTTTGTAAAAAGATTTGTAAGTCCTGGACTCAACAATGATTTCAACAAATAACATTCGTACTTTTCCAATTATTTTAGCTTAAAAGAGAAAAATGATAAAGATAAATGAAAAAACCATTTTTTTCTAAAAATATTCCCACATGGTGAAAAATTTTTTGAATATTTTGTATTTTTTATATATTTTATATTTATTATATATATATATTTTTATCTTTTTTACGTACTACATATTCACTGAATAATTGTGGCTGAAGCAGAAAAAGTCGCAATCATTCGTTCGCAGCAGTTGTTCCATATGAACATCGTTCTTTGTGAAATGCAATAGCGGTAAATATCTTGTAAGTCAAATTTCTAATTTTATTTTATTGAAATTTTCCTAAGCTATCGATTTTATGGCAGTTTTCGTCTTATATTACATGAAGTTTCATAATTTTTGTTTTTTTTTGCATTATTTGTGATTTTATCAATTGTCTTACTGACTTTTTTAATATAATAAGATAGACTTACTCAGTTATGCTATAATTATACTATTCCCATCACCAACTGTCCTATCTCATTTGCCTTAAAAATATGCTCTCCTTGAAATTTAATCGATGATGCAATCTGCAACTTGTCTTATGGCAGTAGGATATTCAGGAAAGAATTTATCAATAATCCTTTAACGTAATTTTAAAAAATTGGTCATTTCATTACCCTCGATTTTCTGACTAACACTGAACCTTGAAGAGGGGCTATTACTTCTCCTTTTTTGGTTTAATTTTCAGCGGCGCCTTTCCATGCAATTGGGTTTAGGCTAATGTGTCACTGCATTAGATCTTCACTGAGTTAAACTGACATGGATGTTTGATCCAAAGTATGTGTAGTCAGGATTCCATCTATGGAAAATCAAGAACGAATATCAGATAATTTAAAAATTTCTGATAACTGTAAAAATATTCAAGAGAAAAAAAGAAATGAAATATAAAAAAAAGTCGACTAGCAATTATTCGCCATTACGGATGCCAAGAACATCATCCGAACTCCGCTTAGCAGAGACATTTATGGATCAAATATCGCTATTCGAATCATCCACACCATCTCCTTCATATGAGAATCTGCATAACTATATAGATCAGGTAAATTTTCCATTAAATCTGAAGCAATAATCGATTTATATGCCAATATTTTTATTAGCCAGTTTTTATGCTTGAAGGTTAAGGAAGATTTGATAGATGTGACAGCTCAATAGGATTTGTATGATTTGATAAAATAAATTCAAATGTTCTTGAGTTAATTAGTTGAGTTAATTAGTTGAAATTACCCAAAATCGACTGCCCGACCGCTGGGCAAAATCCATTAGCGCTTCTTAGAAATTTCAATTTAAATTTCCTCTATTTTTTTGAGTTTTATTCTGCAAATAATAGATTATATAAAAGTAATGTTCGAAAACAAAACTAAAATTTCAGATATGCCTTGAACATCGAAAAGTCCCTTGTTTCCGACTGATTTATCTTTTAGTAGTTTTAACTATATTTTGGTTCGTGGCAGCCATATCCTTATTTGCGATTGAATCGAGTGCTCAAGAAATTGATAGTCTCGCTATGAAAAAAGAAAGCGCCAATAGAAGACATAAATTTCTTAAACACTTCTTCAAAATCTACCATCACATCGCTAGTTTTTTTTTAAGCTTACCCATTAATTCATTCTATCCTTTATATTCTTCGAATTCTCATATTTCTGGTTTTATGGTTTTGCTTGCTGTGAAATCGTTCTACACTCACTCACTTGCGGATAAAAGTTTGGGTGAAATTCTAGTACCATTTTTCAGGCTTAATGCCAGATTTATCTTATCTGTTATTCTTTTATTGAAGATGCTCAATAAGCCTTCGATTAATGCATACATTTTCAGCCAATCTCCAGAGAAGAATGGGATGAATCGACAAAATATTTGATAGAAAATTATGAAGACGAAATTTATCAGCCAAATGTAAAAGTTTGGAAATATACTAATTCACTATCTTTGATAGCTGCTTTATTCACAACAAATGGAAATATTCCAGGTGATTGACCGGTTTCGGTAAAAAAAAATTGTATTTCCATACTTTTGCTAAAGCGTGACGACAATTTTGTGTCTACAGGTGCTCGAAAATTAATCCCAAATGTTCAAGGCAGAATATCGATTTTACTTTGGAGCCCTTTAGCTATATTTAATTATTATTATTGTATTTGGATTATTTCTGGTATTTTATATAAAATGCCACTCGAATGGCAAATATGTACCATAACATCATGCATATTACT